AGTTCTGCCCGGGGGCCGAGGCTCCTGCTGTGTCCTGAGCTGTGCACCCTCCGCCCAGCTTCCATGCAGCAGCCCTTTTGGGGTCTCCCCAGGCCACGGGCCAGACAGAGCCACCTGCACACGCCTCTTGCATGGGGACGACTGGCCCAGGGGACAGGAGCTTGATGTGTCCCTCTATAAGCCTCTGCACCCTACACTGACCAGCCAAACTGCCAGGTTCCCTTGGGTGGGGGTCGTCGGGGGTTCTGAGGACACGCAGGTCTGGGGGACACGTTCATGGCGGGAAGGCACACACAGAGCGTCAACGAGGGCCTGCCGCTCCAGCAATCAGAGTCAATGCCGTGGGCACCTCCAGACCATCCTTCCACCCCACACTCTAGGTGGCCATGTATGGCAGGGAGGCGGAACGGTGCCCCAGGCTCCAGCTGGTGGAGGGGTTTTGTAGCCAACCTCACAGTCACCACCAGCCTCCCCCAGGCCCCTCCAGCCCCCGCGGGCCAGGCCACCGGTCACAGCCCTGACAGGGACTCCAGCTCCAGGACATGGCATGGGAGCAGCTCATGGGCGATGGTCACCACCAGCATTGCCAGGGCCCAGGGAGAGCCAGGTCTTCCTGTCCCGGAGCCCACTCTGCCAGGGGCGAGACCCACAACGGCCAGCAGCTTGCCTGCAGGAGGCCCTGTCCGCATGTGGGCGCAGGGCCCACCAGGCCTCCTCTCTCAGCAGAAACACTCACAGCCCTTCCCTCCCAGGGAGCGGCAGCGGGCAGCCTGGTGCCGCCCCCTCCTCAGGGCAGCCCAGTGACCCCGCATGTGCTGACAGCGTTCAGGGAGTGGGCAGTGGAGGGGACCCAGCAGGCAGGAGAGCACCTGCATGGGGGCCTCGCCAGCGGTGCCTCCATCGACTTCCCAAGAACAGAGGCGGGAACTGCCAGGGCTGCAGGCAGGGGGTTCCCATTCCATTTTTAGCCGAGAGCGATGAGGCAGAGTTCCCCTCCCCCCATAGCCTGGATGTAAAAATACCAGCAATGGTTTCTACATGTTCAGCTCTCCGCCGGGGAGCCTTTCCAGGGAGCCACAGGCCGAGGGGATGGACCATGCCGTCACCATACCAGGGGGTTCTGAGGACACACAGCGTCCAGGCCAACCCGGCGCCTGACCAAGGCCCCACGCACCAGGTACCTCCGCTCCGGGCTGGCCCGGGGCGCAGAGAGGGGCAGGCCACCCAGGCCACAGCCCAGGCCTCCTGGTTGCTGCTTACTACTCAGCTGCCCCTCCCTGAATGGGGACACAGGGAAGCAAGACAGAGACCAGATCCAACCTGGAGGAGACAGGCAGCCGAGAGCCTCCGGGAACAGGCTGAGCGTGGCCCCGGGCGGAGGACAGGGAGCACGCACAGGGTACGGACAATGGGCAGAGGGGAGATCAGCCAGGAGGGCTACCCCAGCCCAGGGCCCAAGAAAGAGTAGGCAACCTGAGGCACAGCCTCTGCCCTGGGCGGGGCTGATAAGGGGTCTGCGTTGGGCTAGGCTGGGCCAAGGTGGCAGAAGTGGACAGTTGTTTAAAGGGAGATGGGTATCCTCAGCTTAGTTGGGCCAGGTTAGTCAATCTGGGCTATGCTCAGCCATGCTGGGCTGAACTGAGCTGAGCTGAGCTGAACTGGGCTGAACTGGGCTGAGCTGAGCTGAGCTGAGCTGAATGGGTTGAGCTGAGCTGAGTTGGGCTGAGCTGGGCTGAGCTGAACTGGGCTGAACTGAGCTGAGCTGGGCTGAACAGAGCTGGGCTGAGCTGGGCTGAGTGAGCTCAGCTTGGTTGAGCTTTGCTGGGCTGGGCTGGGCTGGGCTGCGCTGAACTGGCCTGAAGTGGGCTGAGTTGTGCTGGGCTGGGTGAGCTCAGCTGGGTTGAGCTGGGCTGGGCTGGGATGGGCTGGGCTGAGCTGGGCTGAGCTCAGCTGGGTTAAGCTGGGCTGGGCTGGGCTGGGCTGGGCTGAGCTGGGCTGAGCTGGGCTGGACTGGGCTGGGCTGAGCTGGGCTGGGCTGGTCTGATCTGAACTGGGCTGGGCTAGGCTGGGCTGGGCTGGGCTGGGCTGGACTGGGCTGGGCTAGGCTAGGCTGGGCTGGGCTGGGCTGGTCTGAACTGGGCTGGGCTGGGCTGGGCTGGGCTGGGCTGAGCTGGGCTGAGCTCAGCTGGGTTAAGCTGGGCTGGGCTGGGCTGGGCTGAGCTGGGCTGGGCTGGTCTGATCTGAACTGGGCTGGGCTAGGCTGGGCTGGGCTGAGCTGGGTTGAGCTGGGCTAGGCTGGGCTGGGCTGGGCTGAGCTGGGCTGGGCTGGTCTGGTCTGAACTGGGCTGGGCTGGGCTGGGCTGGGCTGAGCTGGGCTGAGCTCAGCTGGGTTAAGCTGGGCTGGGCTGGGCTGGGCTGAGCTGGGCTGGGCTGGTCTGATCTGAACTGGGCTGGGCTAGGCTGGGCTGGGCTGAGCTGGGCTGAGCTGGGCTGGGCTGGGCTGGGCTGGGCTGGGCTAGGCTGGGCTGGGCTGGGCTGGGCTGGGCTGGGCTGGGCTGGGCTGGGCTGGGCTGAGCTGGGCTGGGCTGGTCTGGTCTGAACTGGGCTGAGCTAGGCTGGGCTGGGCTGAGCTGGGCTGGGCTGAGCTCAGCTGGGTTAAGCTGGGCTGGGCTGGGCTAGGCTGGGCTGGGCTGAACTGGGCTAAACTGGGCTGAGCTGTGCTGGGTTGGGTGAGCTCAGCTGGGTTGAGCTGGGCTGAGCTGGGCTGGGCTGGGCTGGGCTGAGCTTGGCTGGGCTGAACTGGGCTGGGCTGGACTGAGCTGGTCTGAACTGGGCTGGGCTGAGCTAGGCTGGGCTAAACTGGGCTCGGCTGGGCTGAGCTCTGCTAGGCTGGGTTTGGTTAGATTGGGTTGGGTTGGGTTGGGCTGAGCTGGGTTGGGTTGAGTTGGGTTGCGTTGAGTTGGGTTGGGCTGGGCTGGATTGAGCTGGGTTGGGTTGTGTTGTGTTGGGTTGGATTGGGTTGGGTTGGGTTGGGTTGAGTTGGGTTGGGTTGAGTTGGGTTGGGTTGGGTTGGGCTGGGCTGGGTTGGGCTGGGTTGGGTTGGGCTGGGTTGGGTTGGGCTGGGCTGAGCTGGGCTAAGCTGGGTTGGGCTGAGCTGAACTGAGCTGGGCTGGGCTGGGCTGAACTTGGCTGAACTGGGCTCAGCTGGGCTAGGCTAAACTGGGCTCAGCTGGGCTCAGCTGGGCTGAGCTATGCTGGGCTGGGCTGAACTGGGCTGAACTGGGCTGGGCTAAACTGGGCTCAGCTGGGCTCAGCTGGGCTCAGCTATGCTGGGCTGGGCTGAACTGGGCTGAACTGGGCTGGGCTAAACTGGGCTCAGCTGAGCTGAGCTATGCTGGGCTGGGTTTGGATGGATTGGGTTGGGCTGAGCTGGGTTGGGTTGAGTTGGGTAGGGCTGGGTTGGGCTGGGCTGGGCTGGGTTGGGTTGGGTTGAGTTGGGCTGGGTTGGATTGGGTTGAGTTGAGTTGGGTTGGGTTGAGTTGGGTCTGGCTGGGCTGGGTTGGACTGGGCTGGGTTGGGTTGGGTTGTGTTGGGTTGAGTTGGGTTGAGTTGGATTGAGTTGGGTTGGGTTGGGTTGGGTTGGGTTGGGTTGAGTTGGGTTGGGTTGGGTTGGGTTGGGTTGGGTTGAGTTGGGTTTGGTTGGGTTGGGTTGGGTTGGGTCGGGTTGGGTTGGGCTGAGTTAGGCTGGGTTAAGTTGGGCTGGGTTGGGTAGGGTTGAGTTGGGTTGGGTTGGGTTGGGTTGAGTTAGGTTCCATTGGGCTGGGTTGGGTTGGGTTGGGTTTGGCTGGGCTAAGCTGGGTTGGGCTGGGTTGGGTTGGGTTAAGTTGGGTTGGGTTGGGTTGGGTGGGTTGAGTTGGGTTGGGTTGGGTTGGGTTGGGCTGAGTTGATTTGGGTTGGGTTGAGTTGGGCTGAGCTGAGTTGGGTTGGGTTGAGTTGGGCTGAGCTGGGCTGGCCTGGCCTGGCTGGGCTCTGCCTGGTCCAATAAGATAGGCCTATTTCCTGAGATCCACTTGTCTTGGCTTAGTTGTGCTAATGGAGCCCCAACCCAAGGAAGGTTGTCCTTGGCTGGCGGGCTAAGCTGGGCTGAGACAGAGGCATTTGGTGTAACTTGTAGACTCGGATAAGGTGAGTGTCATAGCTTGAAGTGTTCTATTCTGGGCTGACCTGGCCAAGATGGACCCGGGTGGGCTCCCTGGAGCTGAGCTGGGCTGGCTGCACAGAGCTGGGCCCGGCCCGATGGGCTGAGGTCTGGGGTTCCCAGGCCAGGGCAGGGCAGGCAGAGTCACCTGCTGGGTGACTGAAGCAGACTCCCTGGGGCGGCCAGCAGGGAAGCCTGGCTGGTCAGTGAGGGGTGGGGTGAAGGGGCACCCTCCACTGTAGAGACCCTACCCCAGTGAGCAGGAGGTGGGGGTGGGATGGACCACACTCGTGATTTCTAGGGGTTTGGGCCTCTGGACCCCAGGTCTTGATGGGGGGCTGAGGGTGGGGGCAGAGGAGACATCTTGCTGATCCTGGGAGTCTCAGGGTCCCTGCTTCGCAGTGTGAGGAGGGGGAGGGGGGCGATGGCTCTGAGCCTCTGCTGCCTGAGGAGCAGAGAGCTTCCCCGGGGGTGGGTGGCATTTGCTGCCACTCAGGACTCAGGGGTCTGACCAGGGGTCCGACCAGGGGTACCACCGGCTCGTTTGTGGCTCATTCCAATTCCTCCCAGACGCCTGTGCCACTCGGGACCGAGGGGTCCGATCAGGGGCGGGGCAGCAGCATCTGGCGGCACAGGCTTCGCCACAGGCGTCTGGGAGGAACCAGGATGAGCCTCAAACGAGCCTGCGGCTCCGTGCCCCTGGCTGGAATGGGGGCCCATGCTCCCTCTCAGACTCCTGGGGCCCTGGAGTGGCTGCCCAAGTCCAAGGCTGCCAGCACTGATTGGGCTGATTCCATCCACAGAGACCATGAAGAACCCAGATGTCTTCCCCTTGGCCCCCTGCTCCAAAGACCCCACCGAGGGCGCCGCCTCCGTGACGCTGGGCTGCCTGGTCAGGGACTACTTCCCAGGGCCGGTCACCGTGACCTGGGACACAGGGTCCCTGACAAAGAGTGTCATGACCCTGCCCGTCGCCTTCAGCCTGAACTCCAGCCTCTACATCACCAGCAGCCACGTGACCGTCTCTGGCGAGGGGGATGAACAGCGGTTCACCTGCCGTGTGGAGCACCCCGGGTCCGCGCCAGTCAACGTGACCGTATCCCCAGGTAGGCCCAGGCCCGCGGGCAGCGAGGGTCAGCATGGGAGGAGGGTGGCGGAGGGGCTGTCTGAGCGCCGGGGACTCTGGGCCCGGAGGGGGCTCAGAGGCTCAAAAACGCCTCCATAGGGCCATCGCCTCTGTCCTCAGCATGCAAGGCGAACGTCACTCTGCCCAAGGTGAGGATCTTCCACTCGTCCTGCGACCCCAGAGGCAACCCCCTCACCCCCATGCAGCTGCTGTGCCTCATCCCCGGCTTCGCCCCGGGCGACCTCAAGGTCACCTGGCTGGTGGACGGACAGCCCGGGAACCAGCACTGGGTCATCAGCTCCGCCAGCTGGGAGGGCGTGCCGGCCTCCACCTTCAGCGAGCTCTACATCAGCCAGGGCGAGTGGCTGTCCCGGAAAACCTACACCTGCCAGGTCAGCCTGCATGGCTGCAAGGTTAAGGCTGAAGCCAGCGCCTGCCTAGGTACAGCCCTCCCCGCGCCCACACCCGCCTCCCAGGGCCGGTGGGGCCGGGCGCGGCCTCACACAGCCCCTCCGCACCCACCAGAGCCGGAGCCCCGAGGTGTGAGCGTCTACGTGATCCCGCCCAGCCCCCTGGACCTGTACGTGCACAAGTCGCCCAAGGTCACCTGCCTGGTGGTGGACCTGGCCAGCCTGGAGAAGATGAGCCTGGAGTGGTCCCGGGAGGGCAGAGGCCTTCTGGCCCAGGCCACCCAGAACGCCAAGCGCCACTTCAACATGACCTACTCCGTCACCTCCACCCTGCCCGTGGACGCGGGCGACTGGGTCGAGGGCGAGACCTACCAGTGCAAACTGAGCCACCCGGACCTGCCCCAGCCCATCGTGCGCACCATCGCCAAGGCCCCAGGTGAGCGGGGGGGGGAGGGGGGGAGAGACAGGGGAGGCGGGCGGGCCCCCGCCGGAGCCGGAGCCAGAGCCGGCTGACCCCACGCCCACCCACAGGCAAGCGTGCTGCCCCCGAGGTCTTCGTGTTCCCGCCGCCCGAGGAGCAGGGGGCCCAGGACACGCTCACCCTCACCTGCCTGATCCAGGGCTTCTCCCCTGCCGACATCTCGGTGCAGTGGCTGCAGGACGAGGCCCTGATCACCAGAGACCAACACGTCACCACGCGGCCCCTCAGGAACCCGGGGGCCAGCCCCACCTTCTTCGTCTTCAGCCGCCTGGAGGTCAAACGGGCCGAGTGGGAGAAGAAGAGCAAATTCACCTGCCGAGTGACTCACGAGGCTCTGGGCAGCTCACGGACCCGCGAGCATTCGGTGTCCAAAGGCTCTGGTAACTAAGGCCTGCCTCCCGCCCGCCCCCTCCAGGGCGCCCTGCTGTCAATAAACTCAGTGCCAGCTCAGAGCCAGTGCGCTCGTTCTTGGGGGGTGGGCGGAGGGACAGGGTGTCTGGCACAGAGAAAAGGACTCCGAGAGGGGCTCTGTCCACCATCCTCCCGCCAACCCCCACGCATCCTGCCCACTCCAAGGGGCCTGGGAACCAGAGGGCAGCCCGGGGAGGGCCATGGGACTCGGCTCCGCCCACAGCCCCTACCTCTCCGGAGGCCCTGGGGGCCCTGGTCTCCACCCCGGCTCCTGCTGGCCCCTCTGGACAGACAAGCTCCCCCAGGCCCAGCTGCACACACAGGCCCTCTGGGTGGAGGGACGGGCTGATTGCGATGCCCAATCAGGTGCCCACACGCAGGGAACCAGGCTGCCCCCTGTCCCCCGTCAGCCCTACTGCCATCCGAGCACCATGGGCAGGGGCAGGCCCAACCCCGCGTGGCCCAGGGCTGAGCCCGGCACCCTGACCCTCACCTCATCCACCCTGACTGTCCCGGGGAGAGGCCGGCCTCACAAGCACACCCCGTGGGCCTCACACGCAGTCACACCTGCCGTGCCGGCCCAACAGCGCCACCCACCGCCAGCCCCCGTGCCCCGTGTGGGCAAACGCTTCACACGTGCGCTCCTGGCGGCCTCCCCTGGCCTATCCCTAACCAGGCCACCCTGAACCTTTGCTCCCCATCATGCCTGGGCCACGGAACCCAACATGGACATGGAGAGGACCCCCCTGGCTGGGAGCCCAGCAGACCTCCCCCAAACCCTCCCTGCCAGCATCCACAGACAAACAGATACAGACATGGACACAAGCACAGGACACAGACACACACACACAGACACCTACATACAGAGATACACATAGATGCAATGCACAGACACAAACTGGCATGCTAACACAGAGAGGCACACGTGAACACACATGGATGCATACACTGACACGTATAGACACACTGACACACATGGGGCACACATACACTCGGGAAGTGGGCTCTGTCCCACAGCCCACAGCAGCCTGCTTGCCCCATCCCAGGGCCTGAAGACTGTAGGGATCAGAGTCAGGGACCAAGCACACCCCTACCAGCAAGTCTAACTGCTCAGACCCCCCACTCCATCCTGTGCACACACACACACACTCACATATGCACACACGCATGTGCGCCCTAGCTAGCAGCACCCATGAGCACTGAAAGCAGAAGAACGCCCAAGGAGGGCACGTGGGCACGCCTCACTCCCCAAGGCAGGAGGCCGAGGGACAGCAGTGGCCCATGAGCCGGGGCAGCTCAGCCAGCGTGGCCAGGCCAGCACCACGGAGCGACGGCCCAGGCTGTGGGCTCAGACCCCCCAGTGGGCTCAGGGCGGCGAGCTGAGTGCAGTTTAGAGTCTCTGGGCCACAAGCAAGAAGCTGAGTGAGCACGGGGCTGGGTGGGCACCATCCTCCCGGTGGGGGCAGAACAGGAGCTGAGGTGAGGGCCACTGGTCTGGGGAGGGAGACCAGGGGTCCGGACGCAGCCTGAGAGTGGAGGGAGAGAAAAGGCGCTACTGAGGTGGGGCAGTGGGCAGCGGGCAGTGGGCAGCGGGCAGTGGGCAGCGGGCAGCGGTCCTCCCACTGGCCACCCTGGGCTGGGCCAGGCAAGGCCTCAGACCCCAGACCCCCAGGTGGGCCAGCTGCTCTGGGAAGAGGCCATGAGGCTGAACAGGGACTGCCTGAACCCCAGGCTGCAGGGCCCTGTGCTGCCCACACCCAGGCTGGGGGCTGACTGACCCCACACCCAGGCTGGGGGCTGACTGACCCCACACCCAGGCCGGGGGCTGACTGACCCCACACCCAGGCTGGGGCTGACTAACCCCACACCCAGGCTGGGGGCTGACTGACCCCACACCCAGGCTGGAGCTGACTGACCCCACACCCAGGCTGGAGCTGACTGACCCCACACCCAGGCTGGAGCTGACTGACCCCACACCCAGGCTGGAGCTGACTGACCCCACACCCAGGCTGGGGCTGACTGACCCCACACCCAGGCTGGGGCTGACTGACCCCACACCCAGGCTGGGGCTGACTGACCCCACACCCAGGCTGGGGCTGACTGACCCCACACCCAGGCTGGGGCTGACTGACCCCACACCCAGGCCGGAGGCTGACTGACCCCACACCCAGGCTGGGGCTGACTGACCCCACACCCAGGCTGGGCTGACCCACCTGCGCCCGCAGAGCTGGACCTGCAGGACGTGTGCCTGGGGGCGGCCGAGGCGGAGGAGCTGGATGGGCTGTGGCACAGCCTCTTCGTCTTCATCGCGCTCTTCCTGCTCAGCGTGACCTATGGCGCCTCCGTCACCCTCTTCAAGGTGGGCCCGCCCCCAGGGCCGGGAGGCAGGAGACAGGAGGTGACAGACGGGCAGGGCCCTCACTCTTGCACGCCCACCTCGCAGGTGCAGTGGGTCTTGGGCGCCGTCCTGCAGGGGCCGCCCCAGGCCGCCCATGACTACGAGAACATCGAGGACACCGCGTGGCTGGCAGTCCGGGCACGAAGCAGCTGAGCGGCCTCGCTACCCTCCTCCCCAGCCCGAGCGTCCTGAGGCCGCGCCCTGCCCGGGCTGATGGGAGCAGACGCACCTCCAAGGGGCCCAGGTCCGGGATCCATCCACAGCTCACGGGCATCCGGAAGGTTCCAGCTCAGGCCCAAGGCCCAGGCACCCAGGGCACCTGCCAATCACGGCCCCACTCCCACCCCATCTGCCCTCCCCGCATGGCCTGGGCTGCACCCATGGGGGCAGACACTCTGGGCCCCCCGAGGTCAGGCCGCTCCCATCCTTACCGGACAGCTCCTGCACCACAGTACGGCCTAGAGCACGGCCTGCCTTCCGCCCCAAGTCCAGAGCCCAACCAGCCCGGTCCAGGGTCCAAGCCCAACACCCCAGGTCCAAAGAGCCAAGCCCAGGACTCAGAGTCCAGCCCAGCCCGAGGTCTCCCTCCCCGACCTCCCTCCCAGGTCTGGAGGCCCTGCCCCTGGGGCCTGGGCCCTCTGCTCGCCCTTCCTGCGTCCACCCCACCAGACCCTGAAGCATGTGGAGGCACAGAAGCCCTTCTGGGGAGAGGCCCTGAGACGGCGTGGACTGTGGGCAGGGCCCCAGGAGGAGAAGGGTCCCCCACGTGGAGAAGGGGTCCCCCAGGTGGAGAAGGGCTCTCACGGGGTCCACACAGTAGCCACTCAGTCCAGCGGCCCCACCCCCACCCACCACAGCCTGGTCCCACCTCCCACTCCGGCTTGGCAGTTCGGCTTGCTTCCCTTTGGGTTTCTTGGTAAAGTTCTCTTTTTCCAATTCCATGTCCTTGTGTGTACTTTGGGGGCGGTGCCTGTGGTCCCGTGGGGGGTCATACGAGGGCACAGGGCACTGCTGGGGCTGAAAGGCCCTTCGACACCCAAGAAATACCCGCCTGGCCCGTCACCCCCTCGCTGGTCTGCAGTCCAGGCTCGCTGCCCCTTCCCACACTGACACCGAAGCCAGCACCCGCACCGACCCCGTGATCAGTGCAGCCCACGGGGACGCAGCTCCCATCATCAGGTGGGGCCAAGGTCAGCCTCCCCTCCACTGAGCACACACACAGCCTGTCCTGGACCACGCCCTGGCCTCAGGCCCTGCCACCGCCTCCCAGCCCTCCCAGCAGCAGGAGGCGGCCTCCGGCCCCTCCCACCCCTTCCTCCCTCTGTGACCCCTACAGTGGCCTGAAGGGTAACCCCAAAGCTGGGTCCACATGCCCCCCGGAACCTGTGCTGGAACCGTATTTGGAAAAAGCATCCTTGTAGACATGACTGAAGTTGAAGGTCTTCAGATGAGAGCACCCCGTGGCCCCGAATCCGCTGGCGAGCGTCGTTCGGAGAGGAGAGGAGAGGAGAGGAGAGGCCGACACAGCGGAGACGGCGCTGAATCCCCCAGCAGAGGGATGCGGAGCCCGGAGGCGGGGCATGGGCCTCCGGAGGGCGCGCTGCCCTGTCCACACAGGGGTGGGCGTCTGGCCTCCAGACTGAGAATGAATCTCTGTTGTTTAAAGCTACGTAGCCTGTGTCCTTGGCCACGGGCAGCCACGCAGTGCCCCCCCTTCCAAAGAAGCCCCCGGAGGACCCATCCCCAGCTCGCCCCTCCCGGAGGGACCCTGGAGCAGCCCAACAGCCGGGACGTGCAGAGCCCAGGTCAGTTCAAGCATCTGCCAGCCACTGTCGCCGCCTCACAACCCAAGGTTCAATCCACGGCCCCCAAAGAATGCCTCCTCTTCTGCCCCAAGTCACACGCCGTCTGCACCCAAAGTGGGCCATGCCTTCCTGTGTGAGCCTGGCAGAGTCCCCCCACCGGCCCTACAGCCCCCCTTGGTTTTGTCCATGCCAGGCACTGTGCCAGCCATGAGGCCCCGTCATGCATTCCTTGCTGGTGTCCCCTGGCCCCTGAAGGGGCATGGTCTTGGGATTCCCAGGCAGGCAAGAAGGCTGAGCCGGCCCTAGCTGGTTTGGCTCAGTGGATAGAGCATCAGCCTGTGGACCGAAGGATCCCGGGTTCAATTCTGATCAAGGGCACGTACCTGTGTTGCAGGCTCCTCCCCAGCCCAGGCCCAGTGATGTGTTTCTCTCACATCAATGTTCTTCTCTGTCTCTCTTCCACTCTCCTTAAAACTCAATGGGAAAATATCCTGGGGTGATGACAGGTAACAACAAAAGAAAGATGGCAGAGCTGCCCTGACTGGTTTGGCTCAGTGGATAGGGCATCGGCCTGCAGACTGAAGGGTCCTAGGTTCGATTCCAGTCAAGGGCATGTACCTTGGTTGTGGGCACATCCCCAGTAGGAGGTGTGCAGGAGGCAGCTGAACCAATGTTTCTCTCTCATTGGTGTTTCTAGCTCTCTACCCCTCTCCCTTCCTCTCTGTAAAAAATCAATAAAATATATTTAAAATAAAATAAAAAGAAGGCAGAACTACCAGACCCTCATCCCCAGGCAGACAGCACTGGTACCGGAGGCTGTGCAGGCGGCATCGGGTCAAAACCCAGGTGGGCCGAAACCGGTTTGGCTCAGTGGATAGAGCGTCGGCCTGCGGACTGAAGGGTCCCGGGTTCGATTCTGGTCAAGGGCATGTATCTTGATTGTGGGCACTTCGCCAGTGGGGAGTGTGTAGGAGGCAGCTGATCGATGACTCTCTGTCATTGATGTGTCTAACTCTCTATCCCTCTCTCTTCTTCCTCTCTGTAAAAAATCAATAAAAATATTTATTTATTTTTTTTTAAAGGAAACCTTTAAAAAAAAAAAAAAAAAAAAAAAAAAAACAGGCCGAAACCGGTTTGGCTCAGTGGATTGAGCGTCAGCTTCGGGACTGAAGGGTCCCAGGTTCTATTCCGGTTAAGGGCATGTACCTTGGTTGCGGGCACATCCCCAGTAGAAGGTGTGCAAGAGGCAGCTGATCAATGATTCTCTGTCATCGATGTTTCTAACTCTCCCTCTCTCTTCTTCCTCTCTGTAAAAAATCAATAAAAATATATTTAAAAAAAATAAACAGGTGGCCTGGGGCCATGGGGCCCTGGGGTCCTGGGGTCCTAGAATCACCCAACGGTTCTGAGGTGCCCCAGGCTCCCCGCCTCTGTCCACCCTCTGCCTCCGGCTCTGGCTGCCCTGGGCTCTGACCCCTGTGAGGAGCTGACCTCCCGGGGCCAGCGTCACTGACCCGCAGGTGCGCTTTCTGGAAGGGACAGTCAGCACCTTCTGGATGTGAAGAAATGACTGACAGATAAACACAGGCACAAGCCAGGCCCTGCTACCCCTGTGTGACCAGGCCCGGCCGCGTCCTGGGAGTGGGGGTCACCAGGGGACCCCCTGGGGCCTGTGGGGGAAGCCCTGGACGGGAAGATGGGCAGATGTGGGGCGAGGCAGCATGTGGCTGCCCCAACCTTCAGGGGGGCCTCGCTCACACCCTGGCTTCAGTCTGGGCCCCAGATGCTCACAGGCATGCCAGGCCAGAGTGTCTGCTCACTTGCCCACCCTGTGGCCTGCTTGCCCAGCCCTGTGCCTGGGACCCCCGCCCCTCGGCCCTCACAGCCTCCCCGCTGGGGCCACCTCAGCCTGTCCCTCGGCTCCCACTACACTGCCCCGGCCTCTGTGTCCCTGCAGCTCGGCCCCCGGCCCAGCCCCATGAGCAGCAACCAGAGCCAGGACCCACCACCACAGGCCCAGGCTCCTGGGGTCACAGCGCAGGCCACACACACCTGGCCTCACCACAGCCAGACCACAGACCAGACATGACGTGCAGACGGGCAGCCGAGACTGTGGGACAGGAAGTGGTGAGTGACCCCATCTAGGGTCATGACACGGTCTGAAGCCCTCTCCAGCCTGGCCCTCAGCATCAGCCTTCCGCAGAGCCGAGCGAGGGCCAGCAGAGGCAGGGGTCTCTGAGCCACACAGCCTCGGGCAGGGCCAGCTGGCCAGGGGGCTTGGGGCTTTCGGCCTCAGACCCTCCAGCAGCCTCGAGCAGGTGGGTCCTGGATGCTGCCCCATCCCCTCCTCCATCAGGCACTCTGAGCCGCCCTGTGACCAGGGATGTGGAAAACAGGCACTGAGACAGAGGAGAGAGCAACAGCAGGCAGGACCAAGAGCCAGAGGACCACAGGGCAGGATGCTCTACCCTGACAGGGGCTGAGCTGGGCTATTGTGGCCTAGGCTGAGCTGGGTGAGCTGGGCTGAGTGAACTGGGCTGAGCTGGGTGAGCTGGGCTGAGTGAACTGAGCTGAGTTGGGTGAGCTGGGCTGAGTGAATTGGGCTGAGCTGGGTGAGCTGGGCTGAGTGAACTGGGCTGAGCTGGGTGAGCTGGGATGAGTGAACTGGGCTGAACTGAGCTCAGCTGAGCTGGGCTGGGCTAGGCAGGACTGAACTGGACTGAGCTGAATTGAGCTAAACTGGGATGAGCTGGTCTGAGCCAGGCTGAGCTGAGTAAACTGGGCTGAGATAGGATGAGCTGGGCTGAGCTGGGCTGAGTGAACTGGGCTGAACTAAGCTGAGCTGAGCTGGGCTGAACCGGGCTGAGCTGGGCTGGGCTGAGCTGGATGAACTGGCTGAACTGGGCTGGGTTGAGCTGGGCTAATCTGGGCTGATCTGGGCTGAGTGAGCTGAGCTGAGCTGAGCTGAGTTGGGCTGAGATGAGTGAACTGGGCTGAGCTAGACTGAACTGAGGTGGGTGAACTGGGCTGAGCTAGGATGAACTGGGCTCAACTGGGCTGGGCTGAGCTGGGCTGGGCTGGGCTGACCTGGGCTGGGTGTACTGAGCTGAGCTGAGCTGAGCTGGGATGGGCTCAACTGGGCTGAACTGCACTGAGCTGGGCTGGTTTGAGCTGAGCTGGGTGACCTGGGCTGAACTGGGCTGTATGAGCTGAGCTGGGCTGGGCTAGGCTGAACTGGGCTAAACTGAGCTGAGCTGGGCTGAGCTGGGCTGAGCTGATCTGGGTTGAGCTGGGCTGAGCTGAGCTGGGCTGAGCTGAGCTGGGCTGGATGAACTGGGCTGAACTGGGCTGGGCTGGGCTGGGCTGGGCTGGACTGAGCTGGGCTGAGCTGGGCTTGAGCTGGGCTGAGCTGAGCTGGGCTGAACTGGGCTGGGCTGGGCTGGGCTGAGCTGGGCTGAGCTGAGCTGGGCTGAACTGGGCTGAGCTGGGCTGGTTTGAGCTGAGCTGGGTGACCTGGGCTGAACTGGGCTGTACTGAGCTGGGCGGGGCTGGGCTGAGCTGGGCTGAGCTGGGCTGAGCTGGGCTGGGCTGGGTTGGGTTGAGCTGAGCTGAGCTGAACTGTGCTGAACTGGGCTGAGCTAAGCTGAGCTGGGCTGAGCAGGGCTGGGCTGGGCTGAACTGGGTTGAGCTGGGTGAACTGGGCTGGGCTGGGCTGAGCTGAGCTGGTCTGGGCTGAGCTGGGCTGGGCTGGGCTGGACTGAGCTGGGCTGAACTGTGCTGAACTGGGCTGAGCTAAGCTGAGCTGGGCTGAGCAGGGCTGGGCTGGGCTGAACTGGGCTGAGCTGGGTGAACTGGGCTGGTCTGGGCTGAGCTGAGCTGAGCTGGGCTGAGCTGGGCTAGGTTGAGCTGGGTTGGGCTGGGTTGGGTTAGGTTGGGTTGGATTGGATTGGGCTGGGCTGGGCTGAGCTGGGCTGAGCTGGGCTGAGCTGAGCTGGGCTGGGCTGGGCTGAGCTGGGCTGGGCTGAGCTGAGCTGAGCTGGGCTGGGTTGAGCTGGGCTGGGTTGAGCTGTGCTGGGCTGAGCTGAGCTGGGCTGGGTTGAGCTGGGCTGAGCTGAGCTGGGCTGAGCTGGGCTGAGCTGGGCTGAGCTGAGCTGGGCTGGGCTGGGCTGAGCTGGGCTGGGCTGAGCTGTGCTGGGCTGAGCTGGGCTGGGCTGAGCTGAGCTGAGCTGGGCTGGGTTGAGCTGGGCTGGGTTGAGCTGTGCTGGGCTGAGCTGAGCTGAGCTGGGTTGAGCTGAGCTGGGCTGAGCTGGGCTGAGCTGAGCTGAGCTGAGCTGGGCTGGGCTGAGCTGGGCTGGGCTGGGCTGGGCTGAGCTGGGCTGGGCTGAGCTGTGCTGGGTTGAGCTGAGCTGGGATGAGCTGGGCTGAGCTGGGCTGGGCTGAGCTGAGCTGGGTTGAGCTGAGCTGGGATGAGCTGGGCTGAGCTGGGCTGGGCTGAGCTGGGCTGAGCTGGGCTGAGCTGGGCTGAGCTGTGCTGGGCTGAGCTGGGCTGGGATGAGCTGGTGAGCTGAGTGTCTGGGCTGAGCTGAGCTGAGCTGGGTGAACTGGGCTGAACTGGGCTAAGTGAACTTGGCTGGGCTGGGCTGGGCTGAGTTGGGCTGAGATGAGTGAACTGGGCTGAGCTGGGCTGAGCTGGCTACCAGCTGGCGAATGGGAGAAGGTGGGTTCAGTATGGATCACCTGCAGAGACAGTTCCCCACCCAGGTGCCCCTGTGTTTCCCAGGCACATGAGGGCTATGCAGTCTCAGAAGTACATGTGCCCTCTCTGCTCCCACCAATGCCCCTGAGGGAATCAGGAACAGACAAGGGTGGCCTGTGTGCCCAGCCTGTCTGGGTGGGACACCTCACAGGGCTGGTTAGGTTGAGTCTCTGAATTTCGTAGGCCCTGGAGTGGACCTCTGCTTGCCAGAGCTTGTGGTGATTTGCAGAGGGAATGGCTAGACTGGACTCTGACCGGGGAACTCTGAGCGGCCCACATAAGCCCAGGCCCCTCTCCTCTGTGTGCCCCCAGCACAGCAGGCTGGCCCTCAGGGCAGGCCAGTTACAGGCCCAAACCCCTCGGTGCTCCCCTGTGTCTCTCTCTGGGCCCACCTTTCATGACCCCCAAACTCTGAGAGACATGGCCACGCCCACTGCACAGAAGGAGAGGAGGCCCCTGTGGGGTCCACAGACCCAACTGGTCCATGGAGAGCCATGTGGGTGACATGGCCCCATCCACACGTGGCCTGTGCAAGGAGCGTGTCCTGGTCCATGTGCTGCAGCTCTGAGCAGCGTGTCCAGAAACAGTGCTGCTGGACTCGATGGCCAGTCCCTGCCCGAGTGCCAGCCTTCAGGATGAGTGTTCCAGGGGTCGTCACTTGCCCTCCAGGGCCTGTTTGCCCAGGGCAGAGGCGGTGGGCTTCGTCCCCTTCGCATGGGGCTGTCAGAGGTCTCACGGCGTGTCCTGTGTTGCAGCAAACAACCCCACCAGCCCCACGCTCTTCCCAATGACCTTCCGGAGCACCACACCGACCGACCCGGTGGTCATCGGCTGCCTGATCCAGGACTTCTTCCCATCAAAGCCCATGGACGTGAGCTGGGACAGCAGCGGGTCAGGCTCCTCCATCAGCACCGTCCTCCCCATATTCACCTCCCGGGGCCTCTACACCATGGTCAGCCAGCTGACCCTGCCGGCCAGCCAGTGCCCGGCGAGCGGATTCCTAAAGTGCCACGTGAGGCACAACTCCAGCCCCAGCCGGACGGTGAACGTGCCCTGCCCAGGTCAGAGGTCGGGCCAGGGCGGGGTGGGGGCCATCAGGTTCCTATGGTGGAACCACCATGCCCACCGGGGCTCCCCTTACACAGGAGGGAGCTCAGTCCGGCCCCCCGCAGAGGCTGGGAGAGGGCGAGGGCGGGGCTGGAGCAGGAGGAGGGAAGGGGATGTGGCCCAAGGGCACTGAGATCTCTGCCTCCCTCTCAATTTTCATTGACCCAGACATTAATACATCAACAGTGATCAAAGGCTCGTGCTGCCAGCCCCGCCTGACCCTGCACCCGCCGGCCCTCGAGGACCTGCTGCTGAACTCCAATGCCAGCCTCACGTGCACGCTGAGTGGCCTGAGAGACCCTAAGGGTGCCAGCTTCACCTGGCAGCCCACCGGTGGGAAGGAGGCCATCCAGCAGGCCCCGCAGAGCGACGCCTGCGGCTGCTACAGCGTGTCCAGCGTCCTGCCGGGCTGCGCCGAGCCGTGGAACCGCGGGCAGAGCTTCTCCTGCACCGCCAACCACCCTGAGGCCACCAGCCCGCTCACTGCCACCATCGCCAGACCCTCAGGTGGGCCGGGCCCCGCCCCAGGATCGCCCCACTCCCCACGGTGGGCCAGGCGTCCCCCTAAGCCTGCCTGCCCCCGCCCGGCATCCACTCACATTCTAGTGAGGGAAACTGGGCACAGGTACCCTGCGGGCTGAGGGGTTCTGTCCTCCCTGCCCGGCCCCTGACCAGCTCCTCTGCCCCCAGGGAGCACCTTCCCACCCCAGGTCCACCTGCTGCCGCCGCCCACAGAGGAGCTGGCCCTCAACGAGCTGGTGACGCTGACATGCGTGGTGCAGGGCTTCTACCCCGGAGACGTGCTGGTGCGGTGGCATCACGAGAACCAGGAGCTGCCCCGAGAGAAGTTCCAGACGTGGAGCCCGCTGCCCGAGGACGGCCAGGGCGGCCCCAGGTTCATCACGACCAGCGTGCTGCGTGTGGAAACGGAGGCGTGGAAGAACGGGGACAACTTCTCCTGCACGGTGGGCCACGAGGCCCTGCCCCTGAGCTTCACACAGAAGACCATCAACCGCCTGGCGGGTAAACCCACCCACGTCAACGTGTCCGTGGTCATGTCCGAGGTGGAAGGCATATGCTACTGAGCCACCCGCCCCCGCCCTGCCCTTGAATAAACTCCGTGCTCGCCCGAAGCAGCCACCATCCCTCCAGCGCCTGTCTTGATCCTCTCAGCCGGGCACCTCGGGGGGGAGGGGGGAGCCCTCGCTCGCAGGCGTGCATGTGTGTGTGTGTGTGTGTGTGTGTGTGCGCGCGCACGTGAGTGTATGCGCCTGAGTGTAAGCGTGAGTGTGAGCATGTGAGCATGAGTGTGAGCGTGAGTGTGAGCGCCTGAGTGTGAGTGTGCGTGTGAGTGCGTGGTGCACAGTGCTTGAGGCCAAGATGGAGTGAAGCCTGAGGCTGGCAGCGCCCTGGAGGAATACACGGCGTGGTGGGCCCTGAGGCACGGACACCATGGAAGGTCCTACTTGTCTCAGAAGCCGCCTCGAGGCGTAGCGGGAGGGAGAGAGGCAGAAGGGAGCAGGACAGCCAGGGCGGGGTCTGTGCCAACCTGCCAGGCCAGGGCATGAGGGGAAGGCATGGAAGGGCTGGGTTCCAGGGCCCCTCACCCCCAGTACCACACAGAGATGCAGGCCAGCCCACTGACTCACAAGGAAAGGGACCGCACACCGGGGGTGCACATGGATGTGCACACATGTTCTCCACGTGCTCATACATTGATACACACACACACACTGAGCCTTGCAGGTGCAGGAAGTTCATGGCCCAGGCCCAGCTTCGAGAAGGCAAGGGGAGTCCCCATCCAAGCCCTCAGTGGGTTTTCCCCAGGCCCAGCACTCTGTCCCAGGTCCCTCCTGGCCCAAACCACAGGGCATGGGCAGGTGTGAGGAGGGGCAGAGAGACAGCTCCCACCAGGACCCCTCTCATCTTCTGTGTGGGGCCTCTGGCAAGGGGAATGAGGGGGACCAGAATGGAAAGGGCAGTCCCATGACACGGGGCCCCAGGGCCCCACAAGGGGGCAGCGAGGGCCCTGCTCTTGTCTTAGAGACCTTCTGGGCCTCCCCAGGGGACCTGGCCTTCGGGCTACCTCCCTCTGTTCCCAGGGCCAAGGTCAGGGGAGAACTCCTAACGACCCTGCCCACTGGTCCCCTCTCGAAGGTCCAGTCTCCCAAGGGCAGTGGGGAGAGCAAGGTGTTGGTGGCAGAAATGCTGCCATAGTGAAGGTGCCCCAGTCACCAGGGACCTAGGACCTGCCTGAGGAGAAGCTTCCTAAGGAGATTGGGAAAGGAGGAGAAATCAATAGATGAGGGGCTGAACCAGCAGATGGACAGAGGGCAGATAGGTGGATGGACTGTAGGATATACAATGGACGAAAGGATGGACAGATGGATGGGGATGGATGGATGAATGATGAATGGATAGGTGATGGAAGATGGATGGAGGATGGATGATGAATGGTGGATGGAGGATAAATGGGGGATGGATGGATGGATGGATGGATGGATGGATGGATGGATGGATAATGAATGGAGGATGGATATTGGATGAATAATGGATAGGTGGTTGAGTGGGTAGATGGATGGATGGCCGAATGAATGGATAATTGGATGTATCAGCATGTGACAAGCAGGACCCAATTCTATGCCCTAGGATGGCAGTATGCCCTAGGATCCTGAAGCCAGCACGGCTGCCTGGCCTTCACTGGGCCCTCCTTCATGCTCCTTGTAGCTCAGGGGGACAGAAGGCCCTGGTCACGCCCACCCAGCCCTCACTATATGAACCTCAGCCCCAGATCCACGCCTCAAAGTGGGGCAGCTGGAAGGTGGGCTCGTCCATCCCCTCCGGCCCCTTCAGGGCCCAGGCCGGCTCAGCCGAGAGCAGGGGTGTGGCAAGGACACAGACAGGCCTTGGGCTCGAGCTCTCTTTGAGCAGCAAAGGCAGTGCCCACCCTCCCGCCCTGCCAGCTCCATCTCCCTAAGGCGGGCCAAGACCCTTCCAGACAGACCCTGTGGACATCTCCAGAGCCGCCATGGCCCCAGCCCCTTCCCCGGGCACCTGCCACCTCCTCTCCAAGGCCGCCTAGCCTGTGAATTAGGAACCACACTGCTGTGTCCCGACCCTGGGGTGCGGGGAGGGGAAGGGAGGGCAATGGCTCAGCCCACACCCACACAGGCGCACGCCTTGCGAGCCCAGGCCTGGCAGACTCTCGGTGTCTTGCAGACTACCAGGAGTGGCTTCCCTGTGTGCTGATAGACCGGTCCCAGGAGGACAGGGAGGAGGACGCCCCGGGAGCCAGCCTGTGGCCCACCACGGTCACCCTGCTCACCCTCTTCCTGCTCAGCCTCTTCTACAGCACAGCACTGACCGTGACGAGTGTCCGGGGCCCACCCAGCAGCAGGGAGCGCCCCCCGTTCTGAGCTGGAGCCAGTCAAGCACAGGTGGGGGCAAGGAGACAGCGTGGTGGGCTAACGTGGCATGGGGCCCCCGGCTAGCAGGGAAGCAGATGCCACAGGGGGTCTGGAATCTGAGGGAGGCCGTCCCTCACGGACATCGAGGACATGGGCAGGCCGGGCCCAGAGCACAAATGTCCCCCCTACGGGGTCAGGGAATCTGCTTCTCACCAGGTGCATTCGCTGCAGGTTCCATCCAGTCTGCCTGAGCCAGCCTGGAGCAGGGTGGAGCATTGGCCAGGACTCTGCCCCCTCAGGAGCAGCCCCAGGCCTGACCCTCCTGTGTTTGCAAGAAGGAGCATGGAAGAGCCTCCCAGAGCCCAAGCGGACCCCAGAGCCAAGCCCAGCTGGAAGCACCCGCCCATCCCCACACGGCCTTCCTGGCACAATAAACTGTGACAAGCACAGAGGCTCTCTGACTCTGAATGAGGGGAGGGTGCAGGGGCTGGGGGAGGCTTCGGGAAGAAGGGTACCAACCTCATGCCCCAAGGCAGGTTCACAGTGAACATGGAGACGGGGCCCCCTGCCAAGGCCTCCAGACCGGTTCCCACATAAGGCACAGGTGTGAACAAAAGCAGGTCTCACCAAGGGGAATGTAAACAAGATCCTCACGGGAAGGGGCCCAGCTCCCTGGTCCTTGTCATGGGCACTGGGGCTGATCACTGGACCCCGGTCCTTGTCACTGGGGCCGAGTCCTTGTCACTGTACCCTGATCTAGATCACTGGGCCCTAATCCTGACCACTGAGCCCTGGTTCTCATCACTGGGCCCTGGTCCTGAGCCCTGAACCCCAGTCCTGCTCACTGGGCCCTGATCCTGGTCACTTGGCCCTGGTCCTGGTCACTGGGCCCAGGTCACTGGGCCCTGGTCCTGGTCACTGGGCCCTGGTCCTGGTCACTGGGCCCTGGTCCTGATCATTGGGCCCTGGTCACTGGGCCCTGGTCCTGGTCACTGGGCCCTGGTCCTGATCATTGGGCCCTGGTCACTGGGCCCTGGTCCTGGTCACTGGGCTCTGGTCCTGGTCATTGGGCCCTGGTCCTGCTCATTGAGCCTGGTCCTGGTCACTGGGCCCTGGTCACTGGGCCCTGATCCTGGTCACTGAGCCCTGGTCACTGGGCCCTGGTCCTGGTCACTGGGCCCTGGTCACTGGGTCCTGGTCCTGGTCATTGGGCCCTGGTCCTGGTCACTGGGCCCTGGTCACTGGGTCCTGGTCCTGGTCACTGGGCCCTGGTCCTGGTCACTGAGCCCTGGTCCTGGTCACTGGGCCCTGGTCACTGAACCCTGGTCACTGGGTCCTGGTCTTGGTCACTGGGCCCTGGTCACGGGGCTCTGGTCCTGGTCACTGGGCCCTGGTCCTGGTCACTAGGTCCTGGTCCTGGTCATTGGGCCCTGGTCCTGGTCACTGGGCCCTGGTCACTGGGCCCTGGTCCTGGTCACTGGGCCCTAGTCTTGGTCACTGAGCCCTGGTCCTGGTCACTGGGCCCTGGTCACTGAACCCTGGTCACTGGGCCCTGGTCCTGGTCACTGGGCCCTGGTATGGGTAACTGGGCCCTGGTCACTGAACCCTGGTCATTGGGTCCTGATCCTGGTCACTGGGCCCTGGTCCTGGTCACTGAGCCCTGTTCCGGGTCACTGGGCCCTGGTCACTGGGCCCTGGTCACTGGGCCCTGGTCACTGGGCCTGGGCCTGGTCACTGGGCTCTGGTCCTGGTCACTGGGCCCTGGTCCTGGTCACTAGGTCCTGGTCCTGGTCATTGGGCCCTGGTCCTGGTCACTGGGCCCTGGTCACTGGGCCCTGGTCCTGGTCACTGGGCCCTAGTCTTGGTCACTGAGCCCTGGTCCTGGTCACTGGGCCCTGGTCACTGAACCCTGGTCACTGGGCCCTGGTCCTGGTCACTGGGCCCTGGTATGGGTAACTGGGCCCTGGTCACTGAACCCTGGTCATTGGGTCCTGATCCTGGTCACTGGGCCCTGGTCCTGGTCACTGAGCCCTGTTCCGGGTCACTGGGCCCTGGTCACTGGGCCCTGGTCACTGGGCCCTGGTCACTGGGCCTGGGCCTGGTCACTGGGCTCTGGTCCTGGTCACTAGGCCCTGGTCCTGGTCACTGGGCCCTGGTCCTGGTCACTGAGCCCTGATCCTGGTCACTGGGCCATGGTCTGGGTCACTGGGCTCTGGTCACTGGGCCATGGTCCTGGTCACTGGGCCCTGGTCACTGGGCCCTGGTCTGGGTCACTGGATCCTGGTCCTGGTCACTGGGCCCTGGTCCTGGTCACTCAGCCCTGGTCCTGGTCACTGGGCCCTGGTCCTGGTCACTCGGCCAGGTACAAGTCTTATTTTCTTATTTCCACCTGCTCTGCCTCACTGTCCTTGAGGGTCACTGGGCACAGAGGCCTCCGTGGGAGAGGGCTTGGGGCACGGGGGTGTGGGGTGTGCAGGCGTGGGAGGCACGGGTGTTTGTATTCTCTTGTTTTTCTCGTTCTTCTCAAGCCTCCGGTACCGTATCACCTGCTGAAACTTCCAAAATTACCCCTCAGGCCGCTGAGTCATTGTGAGCCCGCCAGCAGGTGTCCCAGCCAGAGCCTGCAGTGCTGAGGTCTCGCCCCGAACCGAGAGCCGGCCAGGTGGCAGGCCTGGGCCATGGGCCAAGCCCAGAGGAAACTTCTGGAGCAGGAGGCCCCAGAGCCTGCAGAGTGCCTACCCACAGCAGCTCCCACAGAGCAGGGTCAGCCAAGCTCCCCCAGACCAACAAAGGTCAGCAGGTCAATCAAGGTCAGACCTCAGAGAGACCAAGTTCAGCCAAGATTACACATAGGTCAGCCCAGCGTCCTCCATGGTCAGCCAGGGTCAAGTAGGTCAGCTCAGGGTCAACCAGGGTCAGCCTGAACGGTACCCAGATGTGTGTGGACCAGCTGGCCAGGGAGACTCCAGGGTATCCCAACGCCAGACCCACTGGCCTTGGTTGTCATGTCATGAGGGTCAAGATGACCCCATTCCCTTCATTCCTTCCTCACATGTCACCTGGGAACCTTCTGGAAGGAGCAGCCTCCTCATCACCATATGGTGACTGTGGAGCCATGACCAGGCTTATGGAGGCCAAGGTCAGCCAGGCCCGGCTGGTGTGGCTCCGTGGTTGAGTGACAACCCAGGAACCAGGAGGTCACCATTCTGTCCCCGGTCAGGGCCCAGGCCCAGGTTGCTGGCTTGATCCCTGATGGGGTCGTGCCAGAAGCAGCCTATCCGTGAGGTAGCCCCTCTCATCATTGATGTTTCTCTCTCCCCCTCTCCCTTCCTCTCTCTCTGAAAATCAATAAAAACATTTGAGAAAAAAAAGAAGGCGAAGGTCAGGCAGGGCCTGTGAGCTCAGCCACGAAGCCCCCACACCTGCTGTTCTGACGTTACCACTCGGCCAGGTTCTCGGGCAGCTGACTGGCCACTGGACTCTGCAGCCCGCAGCCCTCCCAAGCCTGTAGCCACGACACCCCAGGCCCGGGCAGCACTGCCCACTCCCGGGGCCTACACCCCACACATCCCTCCCTCCTGCTTCCCCTGTGTGGAGCCCACAGCCGGGGGCAGAGCGTGGCACAGCCCTGGGACCCCAGCAGACATCCTGTGGGCCCCAGAACCAGACAGGCACGACCCACAGGCTCATGGCAGGGCCCACAGCCCACACCCAGGGACACTGCACCAAAGTCAGAGACAGAGAGAGACAGAGGCAGACAAAGACAGGGACAGTGAGAGACAGGAACAGGGACAGGGAGAGAGAAAGAGACAGAGGCAGACAGGGACAGAGAGAGAGACAGAGACACAGAGACAGAGACAGGGACACAGACAGAGACAGAGATACAGACAGAGGCACAGACACAGACACAGAGACACAGACACAGAGACACAGACACAGAGACACAGAAACAGACACAGAGACAGACACAGACACACAGATACAGAGACAAGGACAGAGACAGGGACACAGACACAGACAGACACAGACACAGAGACACAGACACAGAGACATAGACACAGACACAGACACAGACGGAAACACAGATACACACAGACACAGACAAAGACACAGACACAGAGACAGGGACACAGACACAGACAGACACAGACACAGAGACACAGACACAGACAGACACAGACACAGAGACACAGACACAGAGACATAGACACAGACACAGACACAGAGACAGGGACACAGACACAGACAGAGACACAGACATACAGACACAGGGACACAGACAGAGAGAGAGACACAGACACACAGACAGACACACGGACACACAGACAGACACGCAGACACACAGACACAGACACACAGACACAGTCACACAGACACAGACACAGTCACACAGACATAGACACAGACACACAGACGCAGTCACACAGACACAGACACAGTCACACAGACACAGACACAGACACACAGACACAGACGCAGTCACACAGACACAGACACAGTCACACAGACACAGACACAGACACAGTCACACAGACACAGACACACAGACACAGACACACAGACACAGACAGAGAGGCAGAATGGGAGACACAGAGCCAGGCCCAGAAATGAGGACCCAGGGGATAAATACCCTGAGAGGAAGGGGCAGCAAAGGGAGCAGCAGGCCCAGGAGCCAGATGTGAGCCCCTCACACACATACACACACACACACACACACACACACACACACACACCACTTGCACAATCAGTCACAATCTGCCCTGCACCACAGAGCATTTACATGGTTCCCAGCCACTGCCCAGCCTTTTCACTCAAGTCACACGTTTCCCTCACATCCAGAGATGGACAGACACACACTCACACCCACACATTTACTTATGGGCACACATTCATCTATCACACCTCCTCTCACACATTCAACTCATCACACTCTCACACACTCTTACAGCCACAGGCTCTCACAGTCACATTCTCACAGTCACATACCTGGTTCACACTCTCACACTCAC